CTGTGACCCATGTTTATGTACAGATCCACAGTCTGGAAAGCATTGCTTAGGCCCAGTCCAGTGGAAGTGGCTCTTAGATGGCCAACAGAAGTCAGCATGGAAGATTACCCTGGTTCAGGCGGCGCTTATGGCTCAGTGAGTAGGGCGCCGGCCCCATATACAGAGGGTGGTGGGTTCAAACCCAGCCCCTGCCAAACTGCAATGAAAAAAAAAGCTGGGCGTTATGGTGATTGCCTGTAGTCCCAGCTATTCAGGAGGCTGAGGCAAGAGAATCGCCGAAGCCCAGGAGTTGGAGGTTGCTGTGAGCTGTGAGTTTGCACTCTACGGAGGGCGGAGGGCGATAAAGTGAGACTGTGTCAAAAAAAAAGATTACCCTGGTTCCCTCAGATGACTCTGCAGACTGGGTGTGTCCTGGGGCTCCCCTTGGGGAATGCTGGACTCTTGTGGGGGGTCCTCGAGGGCAAATTGCCTTCCCATCCATCACCTTCTAGGGGCTGGTTTTCTACTTTGTAGGCCTAGAAATGCGACATGGGTAGAAGTGTCTGAGGTGGCTAGGTTTGGGGTGGCTCACGTTACAGCCAGAGTGTAAATACCAGAGGGTGATTCAGCTCCCCACAATGAACGTATCACTATCAAGTGGGCTGCGTTCAGCCCTCAGCACACTTGCTCTGGTAGGGAATTCTACTCAGAAAGCCAAACTGTGTCTTCAGAAGGTGCTTGGCTAGCACAGGCCCAGAGCAAGGAGTTATCAGAAGGCTGGAGGCACCTGCTACCCACTGGGTGGCCCAGGTAGCTCTCCAGGATGCTCTGGAAGCACCTGCCAACCCGAGCCAGCCTCTCTTTTGTCCCTACTCCCCTTGACCCATTCCCTCCAGCCAACCTGTTGAATCTCTGGCTCTCTTCTATGTCTGAGTAGTTGACCCTTCTTGCTTCAAGATCTGGTGCGTTGATGGGCTGGCTGTGTCTGGAGAGTAGCTGCAACTTCCTCTATGTCACCCTCCAAGTAGTCCAGAGGTGTGAGGCCAGTGTCCTGCCATCAGCAATACCACACGTGGTACCCATGGAGTGCTTTGTACAATCCTGGATGTGGTGCTAAGTACTCACTGGCACCATCTCATTTCTTTCCAATAAAAGTTTGATGAGATAGTACTATTTTCTCCATTTTGTTCATAAAGAGACTTGGGCTTGGAGAGGTCAAGTGGCTTGCCTGAGGTCACAGAGTAAGCCAACTGGTGGTGGCCCCAGAAACTGCCTGTGAATATATATTACTCCTGAAGGGCAGTGACTGTGCCTCTCTTAAGCTCTCACTCCCTGAAGGCAGGACTGTGCACCCAGCAGCGACTTCCCTCGCCACCCCAGTACCCATCCCACAACACCCTGGCAGCACTCGACACAACAGAGGTGCCCTGACAGACATGGATGGGCACCAGCTTCTTGCCAAAGAGGGAAGTCAGTGTGAGCCTCAGACCACAGGGAAGTGACTCTGGATGCACCAGACCGTGGTGGGGTGACTCAGCTGCCTGGCTGATGGATGGACGTCAGTCCTGCAGTGTGGCCCTTCCCTTTTCTCCCAAAACAATAACAAATCCTGGCTCTTGTGATTTGGTTACCATAGAAACTAAAAAACATTTGATAACATGGAGCCTCGGAGACAGGTGGGCTAAGCAGGTTTGGATAAAAACAACCTTTTCCTGCCCCTTCACCCAGAATCACAGGCAGGCGTCTCCCCTACTTGCAACAGGTTGGGTAAATAGCCAGAGAGCTATGCTGCCACCTAAACTGACCTTGTCCAAACCAAGGTGTTGGAGCAGTAGGTACTCTGTGCTGGTGGGATCTGACCCAAATTCCTGATGGTTAGAAATGGAATTTCTGTGCCTGGCGCAGTGGCTCACACCTGTAATCTTAGCACTCTGGGAGGCAAAGGCAGGTGGATTGCCTGAGCCGAGGAGTTCGAGACCAACCTGAGCCAGAGGGAGACCTCATCTCTAAAAATAGCAGGGTGTTGTGGTGGGTCCTGTAATCCTACTTGGGAGGCTGAAGCAAAAGGATCTTTTAAGCCTGAGAGTCTAAGGTTGCTGTGAGCTGTGATGCCAGAGCGCTCTACTAAGGATGACAAAGTGAGACTCTGTTTCAAAAAAAAAATAAAAAAGAAAAGAAATGGGATTTCTGGCAAGAAATGGCATCTCAAGCGCGCTATCTGCCTGGGAGACTCTGAGCATCCTGTAGTGTGCCTGCCTGCAGCACATGCTGCTCTCCTCCTGGACACCAAGGGGAGTAGATGGAAGGGGACATGGCTCTTATGCTTAGAAAGCGCCTGGTCTGCTGGAGGGCAGGACACGCATGGAAAAGTCCCGTTAGGTCCCAGGACACAGTAGGAATTGCCTGGAAATGGTTAGGGATGGGGACAGGGAGGTGGGCTCTGTGGAATGACGCTGCACAGCAAGCCCTCCCTGTGTGCTCATTCTCGTCCTTACACACTCAGCGCCCAGGCTGGGGCCACAGAGCCCCATTCCCCTGCAGCCTCAGCTGGCTTGGCCTTCTCTGCCTGATGGTGTTTAGTTCTACAGTTCTTACTCTGACTCTTTTGATGCATATTGGG